ATAGCTCCTCTCGACCGTAACACATTGGCTTGGCCCCACCTAACGGCTTTTGACCTGGATTGTTCAGTAACAGAATGGAAGGGAAGAGAAAGAGGAGACAGAATTTGATATCTGGAATGTGGTGTCAGGGACATGGGGGTACAAAATGAGGTAAGCCCTAAAGGTGTAACTGTGTATATGAGGGACACAGGGACTATCGTGGTTTCTCTGGAGCACTGAGTACGTGCTTAACTTGTTAGAGGTGAGGACAAAGAGCTAATCTGTGATACTACTGTGGAGGGCCTTAAGTTGTTAGGAAGTGATATCTCATTGGCAGTTACTAGGTGGGTGATTAGTATGACTGGTTTTGCACTTCAGGAACATACATCACATTGAAGTGTGTAGGAAGTAAGAGCAGACAGAACAGTATTAGACTAAGTTCACTAAGAATTGAGAAACTGGCCTGGACCAGGTTTGCTATCAAGGGCATGAGACGAAGGGATGCTGTTACGGGACGCTTCATTCCAGGAGCCAATCCGAGCCTGCAGTCGTTTGTGAAGGTCTGACGTTGCACGTAAGGCTTTCATCAAACAAGCTGCCAGGTGGTTAGCTTTTTGTGGATGTTGTGGTTGCAGAATCATAGAGAGATTCCTCCCACAGCCAGTGTGACTGCTGGCAGCTCATAGCTGAGTTCCTCCTATACTTGCCCTAAGACAGAGGAAGCTGCCTTGCTCAAGGTTATACTTCCCTTGAGGAGACAGCCCACATTGAATGGCTAGTCCACGGGGAGACAAAAACCCTGATCCCATTGCCTCATTCAATTCAGGACAACTGCGTGAGGCCATTCCAGCTCCAGGGCTACCCCCCGGGGTGGCTGAGGCTTCCTTGCAACTGTGTCACGGTTCAGCTTTCCCTCTGACCGTTTTTTGCTTCCTTTACTCCTTGTAGGCTTTGCTGCTTGAGACCCACTATATCTCCTGGAGGCAAATCTCAGAGTCTCAGGTCTGTTTCTAGAATTTAAAACACATTCATCCCAAATGCAGATGTTGGTAATCTTTCTGTCATTGGTTGGCATCCCCTATTGTCATAGATAGAGGTATTGATTTAGAAGTAATTGCACCCTCCAGAAGCATTCTGTTCACTCTCAGGAACTAGTTCAGACATTGGGGAAGTCTAGTTCTCTAATAACTACACTGATAAAAGTTTAAACAAGCTTTGTCACCTGTAGGTAGATTTATTTTCTTCCTCTAAGTCCCGGAAGTTATCATATAATGAATCACTCCACGTGTAATGTGAATATGAATCACATCCGGGAGAGTCATACTTGTCATTGTGGATGTCATACAAAGTTATCTACTTGTAAATACTATAGATTATATGATTTTTTACTCATAAAGGATACATTTATTTTTATTTCCCTGTGTTTATTATTGTTGCTCATTTGCCTCTTTTGTTTGTTTTTTGTTGGGGTCAGGGGAGACAGAAATAAACTAATGGAAGTGTATTGGAAAGGTGCACTCCTGAGAGCAGGGGATATAAGTTTTATGCTTAGAAAATTACCAGATACATAGTAGGAATCAATAAATGTTTGTTAAATAAAAATCAGTAAATAAATACTTAAGTAAAATTTAACAAAAGTCTGCAGGAGCTCTGTGGGTGTAAGAAATGGTCAATGATAGAGGGGCTGGTGAACACTTTTAATCATCAGGAGTCAATCTCAAGCTATTCTAACTGCATTAAACTGGGTTTAAAATGTTTTGGATTTATTAGCATATTTTATATAATAAGGTGATAAATTCTAATGTTGAATTAGAAGTTTAGTTTGATACAAAGAATAACTTTCAAAGAGTAGGGACTTGCATGGATTATGAAGCCAAATATTTCAGCAGAAATGCAGATAATTTGATAAAAGAGAAATAGTCTAGATTTATTTATGTAAATACTTCAGTCCAACCAACCCCCTCTACTTAAAAATCTGCATTCCTTATTACATCCTTGATTTAAAATAGAAAGTTAAACAGTGTCCCAGCATGGTACAAAAATCAGTTTGAAGCCTTACCTGGCCAGTGTCCCGCTGACACGGTGCCCGAGCCCTCTCACCTCAGAGAGGGGCAGAGAAAGCTTTGCTGTTGTTACCGCTCCTTCTTCATGGCTTGGTGAGATCCCCAGTCTGCTCTTGCTTTCACTTTCCCTCACTGTTGCTTGGAAATAGAGTGACCAAGAGCCTCCTTTAGGGACTGTTCCAGGGACTGACTCATTTTAGCACTGAAAGTCCCATGTCCCTGGACACCGCTCAGTCTGGGACAAATCGAGACAGTTGGTTGCCCCAGTAATTGATGACCTTCTCACTAATTTATATTAGATGAACGTGATTTGATTAATTATGGGTCTGTGTTAGGTGAGGCCACATCCCTGCTTTGCTGTAGATCTTATGTGAGCAAATGAGTGAAATGATAAAAGTTTTGGAACTGGGGTGAAATAATTGCCCAAACAAACAAATAAACAAAAGACAGGTAATACACCTTAGTATGTCAGTCACCAGGTGACCCTGGTCAGGAGAGCTAAATGAGAGAATTCTAGGAGGGCCTAGGAATTTTCAGAAAGAACGAGTTTTAAGTCTAAAGTATTTTGCTTTAGTTTGGGCCTAGGACAAGATGGATTCCTGGACAGGTTTGTGAAGTCCCAGAAGTTGAGTCACGAAGCTTGGGGAAAAGGAAGCCAATGAATGTGATTTTAAAATACTTCATCATGAGGGTAGAGTCCATGGATAGCATTGTGGCTCATATTTCTTTACCTTCTGTTCCCCCCTAACTTAAAACCAGTTGCCATTGCTTTTTGGCAGATTTTTCCCCCAGATTTTATATTCATGTACTGATGTGGTATCAATTGCTAAAGGTATATGCTATCTTGGATTCTGTCTTGATTAAAACTGAAGTTGAAAATGGAGACCAGTTTTAACCAACGTTTTAAAACTTTGGAAAAAACCTTTAACAAGCTGTTAATACAGGTTTCCTGAGAATATAAGACTGATTCAATTTTGCTGTCAGAAGTCAAGGAGATTAAAGTGTCCACAGTTGGGCCCAAATTTGAAATGAGAGGTAGTAACATATCTCTGGAGACCTGATAGCTATAGAGGAATCAGAGTTTCAGAACCTTAAGAAAAAACGAGACCAAGGAAGACGGAATTAGGATGTTTATAATATAGCCATCCCTCTCACTGAAACATTTTATAGAGCTGATTTACTTGAAATCAATGGAGAATTCTGTTTCTTTCTAACAAAAGCATAGTTACTTTCCACTCAATCAGCCACTTGCCCCATGAGTACCCTCCCTACTCTATCAGGTAAGAAGCAGTGGATTCAGCAGATGATAGTAGAATTTCCATTTCTAAGTGGCAGACATTGCCAAACTGGGGATCCACCTGTATTTATTGACGCTCTCCTCCATTCATAGCTCTCATTTTAGCCGCTACAGGGATGGTCTAAGGTACCATTTTATTGTGCCCTGATACTGCAATAGTCTCCTAACTGGTCTTCCTGCTTTCATTTTTTTCCACCTCCAAGTTCACTGTGTCATATCAGCCAGAATGATCTTTGAAAAAATAGAGCCTATCAATTTATCCCATGCTGCACTCCTGGGGTTAAACTCCTCTAATGAGCTCCTGTCACACAATATAAAATAACTGAATTCCCCATTACAGTTTATAAAGGACATTAACTAGCCACTGCCTACCTCTCTTACTTCATCTTACTTACAAAACTCCAACCACATTGCTTTTCTTTGTGTTTCTCCAATGTGTGAAGCTGATACTAATAGAAAGTTGCAGTGACTTGGAATGTTTCCTCTTCTAGCTCTTGGAATGGCTGCCTTCTTTCTGTTAGTCAACTAGTCAGTCATTCTCTAGGATATTACCATGTTTTATTTTATTTTTTAATTTTGGTGAGGAGGTAATTTTGTTTATTTATTTTTAATGGTGGTACTAGGGATTGAACCTAAGACTTCGTGCATGCTAAGCACACATTCTACCACTCTACCACTGAGCTATACTCTCCCCTCCATATTACCATATTTTAAATCTCTGCAAACCACCTTCTAATATGGACAGTATTATGTATTTTTGTCTGTTTCTCTTCTCAACCAGACTACAGACTTCATGGAAACTGGAGCTTGTCATCATGTTCTGTGCATTAACTCTAGGTCCTAGAACTGTGCCTAGCACAGAGAAGGTACACAATAAATCTTTGTTAAAGTGACAAGTCTCTAACTTCAAAGAGATTGCAAATCTGGTTGTTTGTCAAAGATAATGTAAATGAAAAGTGAAATACACAGGCAACCAAGAGAATTGCTGAAAGACAATACAGGATTAAGTACTATATGTGATTAAGTACTACATGAACTTTTTATTATGATAAAAAGCACTGATTTAATTCAAATGAAAAGGAGGAGGTGACACTTTATATTGCCCTCAGTCATTGGTGTGTATATCAGTGAGATTGTTAGGTTTCCACAAGTGGAAGGCAAAAGTCTCAGGCAGAGGTGGTTGGAAGGGGGAGAGAGGAGGAAGTGGGGGGAGAGAGGAGGGAGTGGGTGCAGAATGAGTAAGCAGAGAATTTGAATGCATGCAAACTTTGGTGAGTGTGGCCTAGCTTGCTCCAGGATGAATTATTACTATCTGGAGCTTGAGATGAACAAAAGTGGGATGAAATATTTTGAGGCACAACTCTCCATTCCTGAAGAGTTCTCTCCCCAGCCCCCCACCCCCACTTCCCCATTTCCCCTACCCCACCGTTTCTAGGCTTGGTGAGCTGAACTACGAAGTAGGTTTATAATAAAAGAGGAAGTTGCCTTCCTTAGGTAAGGGTGCAGCAAGTCGGCTTGCGGTAGTGACGGGGCAGAGGTGGGGCAGAGTGAGGGGGCCATCACATCCTTTGAGATTGCTACACTTTTAGTCTCCCAGCCACACAGAGGGCTGCTCTGCACAGCTGCTAAAATAGGCCGGGCCTGCAGGATACATGGATCGGCTCAATTTCTAGAGGACATTTGTTTTTCTAAACTACTTCTCCTCTTTCCAAAACTGGCAAGCCATTAGTCATCTTCAGCTCGGCACGAACCCAGAAGTGTGCGTGTGTGGCTGGCCGGATTCGGATCAGGCCCCGCCCTCGGCCGCCGGGACGCACTGACACCGCGGGGACCTGGCCAGATCCCTTCTGGCCTGGTGAGAGTAGCTTCTCCCGAGCCACTAGCCCCGGGGCCAGCTCAGCCTCCTCCCCTAAACGGGACCGCCCGGCTGCGCTGTGCCAGCGCGGAGTGCAAGAAAGAAAGTTTGGAGTGTCAAGGGGAGTTGGGCCGCCGGAGGAAGGGAACCGGAAGGCAGGGGTCTCCGCTCCAAGTCTGCGCGGCGGTGGCCGCGTCCCGGGGGTGCCTGTCCCGCGGCGCACTGCAGCTGCCGGCATTGAGCCCCCCGGCGGACTGGAACTCCCGGCCCCGGTCCCAGGCGGGCGACCAGAGCTGGGGAGGAACTTCTCTTGCGAGCTGTCGCCGTGGGCTCTCATTGTCTGCAGGAACTCTCCGGAATCGGGAGGGGGAGGTCTGGATCGCTCTTCCACTGGGATTCGTCAAGAGTTCCGGCGGCAGCTGCGGCGGTTGCAGAGTCTCCCTTTGTCCTCCTAGGACCTCCCTCCCTCCCTCTCTCCCTCCCTCTGTCAGTTAGTGGGTCCCGCTGACCCAGGAGCGGGCGCCCTAACTGCTGGCAGTCCCCCGTCCCAGGGTGCGTCCCCGGTAACTCGTACCACGGTAGCGTCCCCACCGAGTCGAGCCGAGGGGGCTGCGAGCAGGAAGGAGTCGCAGGCCCTTGGCTGCATGATGGTGGCGGGGTTGCCCCCGGCCCGCAGTCCCGGGAGCTGGTTGGTCCCCGGGCTGTGGCTGCTAGCTCTCAGCGGTCCTGGGGGGCTGACGAGCGCCCAGGAGCAACCCTCCTGCCGAGGAGCCTTTGATCTCTACTTCGTCCTGGACAAGTGAGTGCGGGAGGGAGTTCCAGGGTCTTCTGGTGAGAGTGGCACTGGGTGGTGAGCTGTGGCTGGGGAGGTTGAGATGTGTGTGCGACCTGGGCAGAAAGATTGGAAACCGGTGATGGGTGGGTGCCCTGTTGATACCTCCGTCCGAAAATCAAGCGCTTTCGGATCTGTGCGGGCTGGGGGTGGGGTAGGGGTGACAGGAGGAGGCCTGAACTGCTAGGCTCTCTGGGGAGATGAGTAGTCACTGCTTGCCAGTCTTGGGACTTCTTGGGAAACGAGATTGTGGCCTCTTGGGGTAGCCTTCTGCGTCCCTGGAATCCAGACAAGACTCTCGGCTTTCTCTGTTGTGACCCCCTCATGCTGACTAAAGTTTGCCTGGTTTTGTCCTGATCACAGCACTTTCATTGTCACTAGGCAAAATCCAAGGTTAACATGCCCAGTGTGGTTTGCATTTCCTGCCAAGGAAGGCTGTATTTATTTTGAAGAGCTGGGATCCTACTCAAACAACTAGCAGGCCGGTGATCCCTGAAGATGGTTTGACCTCTTTGATTCTTGTAACAACTAAGTTTCAGCTACTGATATTTACCTTGGGTGAAGAAGAGGTCATCAGGTTACCTGATGTAAATATGTTTCTAATCAGTTCAATTTTTTTTTTCAGGTCTGGGAGTGTGGCAAATAACTGGATTGAAATTTACAATTTTGTCCAGCAACTTACAGAGAGATTTGTGAGGTATTTCTTCACTTTCCTTTTCTAAGCAGGGGAGTTTGAAGTGGAGGGAAGTAAATCAAAGGGTAGGGAGGGTATCCTCTTTTGGACACCTTTTGCAGAGAAAGCCTTTACTGCAATGTTGATTTTTAAGTGTCTCAAGACCTTATCACACACATGCTGTTATTAGGACAGCCCTGCAGTTGTTGAGGGCTTATTTCATCCGGATCCCAGAAACTTGGCTCTGGCTCTGGGGAAGCATCTTCAAATACTATTCCAAATGTCTTTTCCTTTCTGAATTTTCATGTTTTGAATTTCAGTTATGCTTTCTCATAATTTATCACATTAAACATTTATGCTAATGGTATCCATAATATATTTTTCTTTCCACACAATTCTTAGCATTGTAGAGGTCCTCATTTTAAAAAAAAAGTGTTGGTAAACTTCAAATGAACATGTGTTAATAACCCACTACCAGAAAAGACACTTGTGTGTGTGTTTAAAGAAACGACTTGTGTTTACACAATGTGTGGGTGTGTGGCTGGTTTAAAATTTAACTGTTCTATATATGCAATAAGCCTTACTAGGAAAGATTGGTTTCCTATAAAAAGCACAACTGCTATAAAATCCAGCTTACTCTCTTATTTAGAGGTAACTAGGAATTAGTGGCATCTCTATTTAAAAATACCCCTAGGACACCAGGCTTTTGAGGCCTTTTTTTCCTCCTCCCTTCCTTTTTTTTTTTTTTAAAGAAAAAAAAATGTAATGAGCAAATTCAAGTTTATCAGGATAATGGAAAGGACATGAAAAGGAGCTGTATCATTAAATATTGCTTCTTTCAGTCTTGTTAGCCCAAATGTTTTCTGTAAAACAGGCTTGGATGATCAAAACATTTTGAAAGTCATGTTGCAAGTAACTTCAAACAATCTGTAGAGGCCTAGGCAATCCTTGCTTTCAGTTATTGGCAGCAGTAAGCTTATCCCTATAAAAATGTATGCTTGTCCATGTTCAATCATCAGTCGCCTGCTTAAGAAGCCAAGTATAACACTCATTTCTGGACAGGGTCTGAGGTAGAATTGTCTAGGAAAGAAAAAATGAACAAGGCTCTGTATCCTTAAATATCAAAGGCAGAAGAGACAGTTGTTTATAAATTTTCTCATTTAATCCAATAGTGTGCAGTGTCCCACAGATTTCCATTGAAAGCAATGGGTCACTGCAGTACATTTTTAAGAAATGGGGCTCTTATTTGGTTGGGTTTGCAAGTTGGAATTCTCTAATGCACAGTTCTCTGGCTTGACTTTAGTTGCTGGTTACTAACTAATGATACATTATAGGAAGTGAATAAAGGGTGATTACCCAACAGGATGACTTTTCAAATATGTATAATACTTTGAGATCATTCTGATCTTCAGCTGATAGATCTTAGTCTCAGATTTTCAGTTTCAGATCTTAGCAAGAGTTGCATAGAGTGTCTTAGAAACAAGAACCATTCTGTGAGATTAATGCCTAAAGCTTAAAAGACGTAGCTATCCAGGGCAATTGTTGCCAATTGAAAATGTGATGTACAAGGCTTGGAAAACTGAAAATGCGCATCAAAACGTGATTTGTTCAGCAGGAACAGGCTCACAGACATAGAAAACAAACTAATGGTTAACCGGGTGAGGGGGTGGGTGAAGGGAGGATGGGTGGAGAGATAAATTGGGAGTTTGGGATTTGCAGGTACTAACTGCTACATATAAAATAGATAACAGGGTTCTGCTGTATAGCACAGGGAACTATATTCAGTAGCTTATAATAGCTTATGGTGAAAAAGAATATGAAATATATAGATATATATAACCAAATCACTATGCTGAACACCAGAAATTAACACAACATTGTAAAATGATTACACTTCAATATAAAAAAAATAAGTGAAATGAGATAAACTGCAGTAAATTCATAGCACAAAAAATGTCTTTTGTTCATCACTTTCATTTTGTCCATGACACTCTTTAGTTTTCTTACTTCAGAATAACTTGTAGGAACTCCTCTCACCATTGTGGCAATTAAATCAAACGGGCTGTTCTTGAGCCCTAAATAGCACTCATGATAATCACTCTGAAGGGATTGGCCTCCTTGCAGGACGTGAGGTAGAACGCCAAAGGAAGAAGCACTTCCTAGAAACGAATATTGCACTGACCTAGAATTTATCTTCCCAGGTAGTCTCTCCCTAAATGACCCAATCATTTGGGTCAGGGAGGAGTGCTTGAGGACTGAGAAGCACTGACTAAATCCAAAATGACAAATGCAGTAGTGCTGAGCAGAGTTGGTGTATCCACTTAGGGAGTTCCATTTAAAAGAAGCCTGGACTATTCAGTGAGACTGATTTTAATTGAGACTCCCTAGCTATACATCTGTATGGTATCAACATATCTTTTAAAAATGCTTTAACTGCCTCTTTTCTTATTTTACAGCCCTCAAATGAGATTATCTTTCATTGTGTTTTCTTCTCAAGCGACCATTATTTTGCCATTAACTGGAGACAGGTTAGTGCATTATCATTTCACTGCAAGCTTTTAGTAGAGACTAATCTTGAAGGAATGATTGATATTTCGAAGTGGTGCTTCAGGTCTCTCAGTGGAATCAAGCAAATGCACAAACAATTTAGTTCTCTTCGCTAATAGAGGGGAAAGGAGGTATGAATAATATAAAAGAGCCGATAATCTGAAAATCAATTATCATTCATATTGGCTGTGCAATGTGCAGTGAAACCCAGATCCCTGCCTTAGTTGTGTGTATTTACTGCTTTCCAACTTCCCCCTTCTCTGGTACTATAAGTTGTTCTCCATTTTTCTTGTTTAGATGTAATATATTAATCAATTAGGAATTTGAAGAACATTAGGGAGGAGAAAGACACGGACCTATTTGGATATATTACTGGATTGAGCAGACATCCTGTATCTCCAGTCTTACTCTGAGGTCCACTGATGTTGAATATGTTTACCTTTATAAAAGAACTTGCTTTCAAGTACACAGACACACACACATACACACACATATATATAAATTCAAATTTATATAAAAAAATTTTTTCCCAAATCAGTGTTATAGTGTTTCATATGACCATTTCTATGGCCTTTGAATCCATCATTGTGACAAGTTAGAAGTGGTCATTGACATATTTTGAAGAATAGTTGCTTTCCATAGTGGGAAGGGAGATAATTCTGCTTCATATTTGTATTTACTTCAGTTAATACAAAGTATGCAAGATAGTTTTTGCTCAATTCTTGTTGAATAAATGAATGGGTTAATAACATTTGGAAATCAAATTTCTCCAAACTGTAATTTTAGCAAGAGAGATTGTTGTACTTTGTTTTGCATAATATGTGGATTTCTGAAAAGTTATGTGTATACAGGTTTTTTTAAATAATGTTTTTCTTTAAAAATGTCAAGAAAGCATAATATTTAAAGGGACTCAGGCAGATAACTTATATATAATTCACAGAATTGACATAGCAAATCAGTCAAACTTCTGATTTTTTTCTGCTTTAAGTTTTACTTTTCCTGGATAGGACATCTCTCTGCAGGTGAGCAGTCCAGCTTACAACCTCAGTCATCTCACTGACACTTCCTTTCATGCTTTCCTCTGGGCATCTGGGTCTCATCGAGGGCCAGAGCAATAGTAGTCCCTAACAACCCGCATATAGCAGCTTTCTATATCCACTTACATAACAGTCCTTGCCTTCTTGAAAAGAAGTTATCTCCATTGCCCAGCTTAATTTCCAAAGATACAGCTTTTGATCCAGTCTCTCCATTAGGAGAAAAAAGAACCGTTTTAACATTTATGGAGTGCATACATAGAGAAAAGCATTTAGAATAATACCAGATGCATAGTGGACTCAGCAATTGTCACCTGCATACACTGTGTCCGGTTTTCTGTTAGGTACTTTACATGTGGGTCCTCCAGCACTTTGATGAAGGGTAGTCACTGGTCGACAAGGCTGGCATTCTGTGGGCTTGCACGGACAGGGTTTAAATGGTTAATCACAATTAGAGATTCTTCCCTTAGCATTGACTCTAACAGGGAAGAGGTTGGAATGGGATAAAGAGGCTTCTATTTCACGAGGCAGCATAATATTGCAGCTGAAAGCTGCTGAACCAATTTACAAGCGGAATGGTTATGGACAAGTTACTTAACCTCTTCGTGCCTCCCTTTTTTCCATTTATGTAATGATGATGACGATGATGATAGCAAAACCTTCCTCGTAAGGTTGTTGTAAGAACTGAAGTCAGTGAATGTGGAGAATGTAGGAAGAGTCTGGCATATATGTAATTCAAGAGATGAAGGCTTTGTTGTTATTACCTGCAGCTAGGGAATATGTAGTATTTTAATGATCAGGGAGGAATTATGCTTCTATAAAGAGATTATTGTCTTGTTAGAAAGGATTTATAATATTCCAGGATGAATTTTAGTAATGCACTTTCAACTTGTTTTATATATAGTTGGCTCCCTTGTCTCTTTTTAAATAGAAATAAGTTCAGTTTTAATAAATTGCACTATTTGTGGCTTATTGAATTAGTTTGGGGGTGTCAGAAAGTACACTAAGAAGGTCTGGGTTAGAGTTCCAGTTTTGCTACTTATCGATTTAGAGACTTGGGATAAATCATCAATGCAATGTGTCAGTTTTTATGTCTATAAACTGCAGACATAATCTACCATGTTTTCTTAAAAGAGTTGTGAAGATCAAAAATAAGAATGCATAGAAAAGTATTTTGTGTATCACAGAAAAGTCTCCACTAAAGGATATTATTTCCTGACCCTAGTTGTTCTTTTACTAGTTTTATTTAATTAAATTAGTAACTTTTCAAATTTCTATGGTCCTCTATATTTGGATATAAGGTCACTTTCCATCTGTTATACACTTTCAAGTGTGTGGAAGCCATTTGCATATTTAGATGCAAGATCACTGAACAAACGTTTTCACAGCTATTGAGCATCCTTCTTTCAAAGCCTAGAAAGGGGAATTCTATGTATGAACTTTCTGAATGTCATATATCACACTCACAGATGTGAGCAAATGGGAAATGCAAAGGTCAAATACAGCAGGTTTCACAATTTTCTTTCTCTTGCTTATAACACTTCAGCACCTTGGTAAATATGAGAAGTGCCTCCTTCATGTTTCTCAGAGTGTTGCTAAATATTTTCAGTAGATATGAAGCAAGATTGGAAGGCAGTGTAGAACCATCTCTTCTGTTAGGGTTTCAGCAGGAAGTACCGGTCGGTACTACGTAAATGCATGAATAGAATAATAAACATGGCAAGAAATGATCAGCTATACATGTTATATACTCATGATTTTAAAACTTCATTATTTTGTTATTTTAATTTGAAACACTCTCTTCTTCTCTTGCCCCCATGAATTTTATCCTTCGTATATCTGTTAGTCCATCCACCTCCCAACCTACCTGCTTTGCCTACCCTATACACAGTGTATTGTTCATTGTGGGCTCTGGGGGTAACACAGGGATGAATAATCTCATGTGTGTGAGAGTAGGGGGTGTACACATACATGTGAACAGCTCAGAGCTCTATATAGGATCAGGTATGGGAAAGTGCCAAGTGTTGGTACAATATGGAAATATCCAGCCTCTCAATATTAGACAATTTAAATCAGGACTAATTTTAAAGGATATTTTTAGGTATTATGTTGTATAATTGGGGATAGTGAATTATGCTTAGTTCTGTTCAATGTAATCTTAATGGCATAAAAATGATTTAATTAAAAACATTTAGTGAACAATTATTATGTGTTAGATATTATGCAAAATGTTTTCCAGTCATTACTTCACTTAACCCTCATATCAACTCTATGTAATAAATACTGTTATTTCAACTTTACAAATGAGGAAACTGAAGCTAAGAAAGGTAATGTAGTTTATCCAAGGACACAGTTAGTAAGTGGTGAGGAGTGTATTAGCCAGAATGGTCTCTTAAAGTGTAAAGCAGATGATGCTACTCTCACACTTAGGACAATCTAATGGCTTAGCATAGAAGACACATGCTTCCCATTGGCCTTAAAGCTCTACCTGATTGCTCACCCAGTCCTCTCCTACAATATCGTGTGCCACCGTCTCGCCCCCGGCCTTCTTTCCATTCCCACAACAGGCCAAGCTTGTTTCCACTTCAGGAGTTTTGCTCTTTCTCCGCCCTAGATCTTCCCCTGACTGGCTCATTCTTGTCACTGAGGCCTCATGCCGTGCACCACGTCCTCTGAGAGGCCCCACTTGTCCATCAAGCCTACAGGAACTCTGCCCCATCCTCCCAGTAATGGCTCACAATACTCTTATTTGGTTGTCACTTTCTGAAATTGTTTAATTAATTAATTGGTTTATTTTATCTCTGTAACCCTAATGCAGACTGCATGAGAGCAGAGGGGCCTTCTTTGTCTTATTCACCCATATATCTAATACCTAGAACAAAGCTTGGCACACAATAGATACTCAGTGAGTATTTGTTAATGAATGATTGAGTTGGTCTGACTCTAGAACCTGAGTTATTAAATTCTGTCATATTCTGTCTCTCCTTGAGAAGTAAGTGATGACTTACATTTGTTGATTTTCTCATTCCTATTGTTACAGATCAGTTATAAACATTTTCAACTCTCTTTTCAATACCTTTGTCCCCAAGTTGAAAAAGTCATAATTATTTGACCTGAAAATAATAATCAATTACTTAGGAAAAAAATATTTCTTAGGCAAATTTGTAGGAATTTAAAGAGAAGTCAATTGATTAAATTTACATTGAAAAGTATAAATAATATACACATTTCTCTTATTTGAAAGGATTTCTCCTAATTCTTTTAAATCGGAATGAAAATTTACTTGTGATAAAACAGGTTTTTATAAGAATTGTTAATCTGTAAAGTAGTTCATTCATTTTGCATGGAAACTTTCAGTATCTTAAAGTTTTGAAGGTTCCTATCAGCAATTCTACTGTTTAGGACTACATCCTACTAATATACTAGCACCACTGGGCAAAGATAAGTCTGTGCAAAATTAAACACGGCAGCATTGTTCATAATAATGAAAATTGTATTAAATTTAAATGCTCATTATTAAATCAGAGTGTATTCATAGAGTGACATGCTATACAGTCATGAAAAGAATTGGAAAATCCACATATGTCATGAAAAATTATCTAATATATTAATTGAGAAAAGCAAGTTTCAGAACATTATGTTAAGGGTGATAAATAAAAATGGTGAAAACATTTTAACTGTTTTTATGGTGTGTGTGTGAGAATAAATGCATGGAAAAAGGTCTGGAAGATGGGCAACAAATTGCTAACAACAATATGGTCTTAGCAGGGAGATTCAAGGTGGGGAGAGCCTTCATGATTTTCCATACCTCTGGGTTGTTCAGTTTTATTTCAACAATAATATATTATTTGTAAAAAAACATTAAACAAATGTTGAAATTAAAAAGAAATGTTATTGACTTCTTTTGTAGCCAGAGACAACTATCTTGCAATAAGAATGGAATTACA